ATAAAAATAAATGATGCTGGTGCTGAGGATTATGACAACAACAACAACAACAGCCAAAACAACAACAACAGCCAATTCCATATTCAGTCACATGTTCTTTCCACCTTGCCCCTATATCCCAGGATCTGATCCCAGATTATCTGCTTGTCCCAGATTATTTGGCAGTGGAGACTCATATAATCCAGTTCAAAGCAGAAAATCTGGGATCAGATCCTAGGATAGATGACAGTGTAGAAGGAATTACAGACGTAGAATGAAAAAAAAACTAATTTAGTTTAAATGTATTAAATGTATTTTGGGGTGCTGAATGAAACACTGTTATGATAGGTTTTTAGAAAACATGCCAAGCCTTCCTCTGAAGTGGAAAAGCAATAGAAACACCTACCTCTTGTCTCAGTGCTATACCAAATCTGACAGAACCTGACCTCTTTGAGTCCATCTGGCACCTGGATAACAAGTTGGGAGGACCTGTCATTGTTCCATGGAGGCAACCTAACACCAAAGCTGGATCGGATATTAGAGTGGGCAGGAAAGACATATCTGACAACGTGTCAGGATCATCATAAACCAAAGTCACAGCCTTCCCATGTTGCTCAAACATATACCTGGCATGACTCTTAATCTAACTGTTTTTGGTCCAACTCTAGCACCCCGCCCCCCTTTCTACTCTACAATAAAACATTGCACCAGACATGATTTCAGTGCTGATTTCATTTGGAAATCATACCCTATGAGGAGCAGCTTAAAGAGCTAGGTATGTTTAGCCTGAAGAAGAAAATGGAGAGAGGCGACATGATCACTAAATATACATATTTGAAAGGATATCATAAGGAAGCCCTGGAGACTTAGGACACATCCAGACAGCCCCTTTAATGCGGGAGTTACCGCAATAAAAAGGAGGCTGTCCAGATGATGTCCTGGACAAACCTGAATTAATTCGCTACAAACCAGGCAAAACCTGAAGGCACGGGATAAATCTACTACTTCCAGTGTCTGGACCACAGTCCAGATAGTAGTCTCATGGTTTCCCAGGTGAAAACCATGAAAACACCAACCCCTCCCCAAAAGCCCTGAAAAAAAACAGAACTTACCCAGCCTCCATTAGAGGGCTGCCTGGCCGGTAGAAATGATGCACCAGAAGGTGGGGGGAGGAGGAAAATCATTTCTTCACGCCAGGAGAACTCCAGCAGCCCTCTAATGGAGGCCGGGTAAGTTCTTCTATTTTTTACAGGCTTAGGAAGGGGGGGGGGCTTTTGTGGGGGAGGGAGTTAGAGTGTCCAGGTATTCTCTCGGAAAGTTCCAGGAGAACATCTGAACTCCCACCTTTCGCATTTTTTTAATGTTCCCAGGATAAGTGCCTGTCTGGAAGCGCCCTAGGACTCGGAGTATAGGTTCAAATTACAGAAAAGAAAATTCCACCTGAACATTAAAGAACTCCCTGATTGGAAGAGCTATTTAGCATTAGCAGTCTGCCCCGGACTGTGATGGAAGCTCCTTCCTTGGAGGCTTTTAAACAGAGGCTGGATGGCCATTTGTCAGGGATACTTTGTGCTTTTCCTGCATGGCAGGGGATTGAACTGGATGGCCCATGTGGTCTCTTCTAACTCTATGATCAAGTCCCATTTTCCAGTATAAAGATATCAAAGATAGCTGTGAGGAAAAAAAACTGTATCATGAGGAGCAAATCTGTGACCATTTTTGGATGTAGGATACCATAAGTACAGGTAAAGGTTTCCCCTTGACATTAAGTCTAATCGTCTCTGACTCTGGGTGGTGGTACTCATCTCCATTTCTAAGCTTAAGAACCAGCATTGCCCCCAAGGTCATGTGGCCAACATGACTGTATGGAGCACCGTTACCTCCCCAGATTCAAACCGCTGACTTTTTGGTCAGCAAGTTCAGCAGCTCAGCTGTTTAACCCACTGCGCCACCAAGGGTTCTGTAGAACACAATAAATGCCTATAAATTCTGTACTGCAAGAGTTTGCCTTCTTCTAATATTTGATAGCTTTGGTATTCTCAGGAACTGAAGTTTTATCTCTTTTGTACTAAGTCTATACTTTTTTGCACATTCTTTTATTTCAGTGGTCCAGCAGAGAGATAGACTCTGAATTTTGCAGAGCTGTTATATATTATTATTCCCTAATCGTATCAGTTCTGCAAAATTGAGGCCTCTTCAACACTGCTATATAATTCAGATGATCAAAGCATATAACCCACATTATCTGCTTTGAACTGGATTAGGGTTTGACCGGGTGGTTTGTGAAGATTATTAATGCCTCCTTGGATCAAGAGCAGATTCCATCTTGCCTTAAACAGGCCATGGTGAGACCTGTCCTGAAAAAAGCTTCCATTGACTAATCAGTTTTGAATAACTACCGGCCAATTTCAAATCTTTCCTTCTTGGGTAAGGTTCTGGAGCAGGTGGTTGCTACTCAACTACAGAGATTCTTGGACAACACCAGTTATCTGGGCCATTCGCAGTCAGACTTTAGGCCTGACCACAGTACGGAGATGGCTTTGGTCGCCTTGGTGGATGACCTCTGCAGAGAACTTGGCAGGGGGAGTGTGCCCTTGTTGGTTCTCTTGGGCATGCCCCATTGTAAGCCCATTGTAAGCCACCCCGAGTTCCTTCGGGGAGATGGAGGCAGGGTACAAAAATAAAGCTAATTATTATTATTATTATTATTATTATTATTATTATTATTATTATTATGTGAGTGTGCACTGCCATATTATCCAGTTCAAAGCAGACAATCTGTATTTTATATGGTAGTGTAGAAGGGGCATTAGAGTGAAGGCCTTTCCACACAGCTCTATATCCCAGAATATCGAGGCAGAAAATCCCACATTATCTGAGTGTGAACTCAGATAACACAGTTCAAAGCAGATATTGTGGGATTTTCTGCCTCGATATTCTGGGATATAGGTCTGTGTGGAAGGACCCTAATACATAAGAGGGAATTGCACCTTGTGTCAACAATTAGCTCTTGTTGCTGAAAGCTGCTTTCCAATAGTGGCCCTTTCCACACGGCTGAATAAAATCCCACATTTGCTGCTTTTAACAGGAGTATATGACAGTGTGGACTCAGGGCCTTTCCACACTGCTCTATAACCCTGAATATTGAGCAGAAAATCCTACATTATCCAAGTGTGAACTCAGATAACCCAGTTCAAAGCAGATATTGTGGGATTTTCTGCCTTGATATTCTGGGATATTGGGCTGTGTGGAAAGGCCCAGTGTGTGTTACCAGGCGCTGAATAGCAAGCCTGTCAGTGCCTTCAGGCTCCATATATCTGCACTGCCAGCTTGAACTGGGGGCACTTCCACACAACCCTATATCTCAGAATATCAAGGTAGAAAATCCCATATCTGCTTTGACCTGGGTTATCTGAGTCCACACTCATCTAATGTCCTGCCTTGGTATTCTGGGATATTACTTAGGCGATCCCTCATTGGATGGGTAGGATAGTCTTCCATGATCAGTATTCTTGTGGATCCGTAGGTGGCTGTGAAGCCCTATTCTTGACCTGCATCTTCTCCCACAGTAAGGGCATTGGTTTCCAGGTGGAAGGCGGTCTCAGTCGGGGTTGGCTTGACCCGCCTTCCTCTTGGCACGTTTCTCTCTTTCACCCTCCATTCGTGCCTCTTCATATTCTGCAATACTGCTAGTCACAGCTGACCTCCAGCTGGAGCACTCAAGGGCCAGGCTTCCCAGCTCGCAGTGTCTATGCCAGAGTTGTTAAGGTTGGCTTTGAGCCCGTCTTTAAATCTCTTTTCCGTTCTTGAGTTTGGAGTAGAGCAACTGCTTTGGGAGATGGTGGTCGGCCATCCGGACAACGTGGCCGGTGCAGCAGAGTTGATGGCAGAGGACCATTGCTTCAATGCTGGTGGTCTTTGCTTCTTCCAGCACGCAGACGTTTGTCCGCCTGTCTTCCCAAGAGATTTGCAGGATTTTCCGGAAGCAGCACTGATGGAATCAGGGGCGGCTCAACCCATTACGCAAAGTAAGCATTTGCAGTATAGTTGATTTTGCCCAGGGGCGTTCTTGAGGCGCTCTTGGGGGAAAATAGACCTTGACATATGCAAGTTGTAGTTACTGGGATGCATAGTTCACCTAAAATAAAAGAACATTCTGAACTCCACCAATGATGGAATTGAACCAAATATGGCACACAGAGCTCACATGATGAACAGAAAATATATATCAGTGATTTATTGGGGGGGGGGGGCAAAATGCTGTTTGCTTACCATTGAAAATTACCTACGGCCGCCTCTGGATGGAATCGTTCCAAGAGTTGCATGTGGCATCTGTAGACAGTCCACGTTTCGCAGGCATGTAGCAGGGTTGGGAGGACAATAGCTTTATAAGCAAGCACCTTGGTATCCCTACGGACGTCCCGGTCCTCAAACACTCTGTGCTTCATTCGGAAAAAATGCTGCACTCGCAGAGCTCAGGCGGTGCTGTATTTCGGTGTAGATGTTGACTTTGGTGGAGAGATGGCTGCCAAGGTAGCAGAAATGGTCAACATTTCCTAATGTTACACCATTAAGCTGTATCTCTGGCATTGGATATAGGACTGTGTGGAAGGGCCCTATGTGTTTGTAGTAGCTGAAATGGCCAAGTTCTATTACATGCATCCTGTTTTCCCTAGTAGAAGTAATTTTTCAACTGGAAACTAAGGCCTAAAATGTAAATCTGTCCTTATCAATGATATCAATCTGCATTATACGACCATATAATCCAGCCAGGGGCTAACCTCGACTCTCCAGGTGTTTTGGAGTGTGGGTGTTGAAGTTCGAAACAGGTGGAGGGCCGAAGCCTTCCCAGGCCAGTATAAACACGCCCTCAGAGGAACAGCTGTGGCTGGGTCTCGCGCTGAGGCGACTCTGAGGCAGCCGGTGGGCAAGAGGAGGACTCAGAGAGAGAGAGAGAGTGGGAGGGGGGAGCGCGGGTCTCGCGTCTCGCGCTCGGCGGCTCCGCTCTCGCGAGGTTTCGCCGCCGCGGCTGTCACTTTCTTGGCCAGCCGGCGCGCGCTGGGTGCCGCTTGGGGTCTCCGTGGGCGATGGCAGCCCTGAGGGTGTTGCTGCGGTGGCGGCGGCGCCGGTGGTGCTGCTGCTCCCCTCCTTCCGAGCTGCCTCCGCGCCGCCTGCTGCTGCTCTGGAGCGCGAGAGGCAAGGACCGGGCGGCGCCGAAGAGCGGTCTGAGCGCGGCGGCGGCAGGGGCTGCCGGCGGAGCGCTGGCTTGGCTCGTCTGTCAGCGCTTCTACGGCGAGCGGGAAGCGGTGTTAGGCGGCAAAGGACGCCCCTCAGAGGGCCGGGGGTTGCTGCCCATCCCTGTGGCGGCGGCTGCCAAGGAGACCGCGGTAGGTGCGAAGGGAGGAGGAGGAGACGGGCAGGCCCCGCCTAGGCCCTCGCTCTTGCTGCGAGGCAGGTCTCGGGGAGGGAGTGAAGGCTGCTGCTGTTGCTGCTAGGGATGCTGTCAGGGGGACCCATCTCTTTCCAGCCTCTTCGCTTTCGCGCCTTCTCTGCACTGCGGCGGCCTGGCAGCAAGGCTATTGCTGTGGTCAGCGTCTCTGTCCTTCTCTCCCTTTCGTCTCACTCAGGAGAGAAGATGCCAGTGTAAGGTTGAAGAGGCCTTGGATGGAGAGCCCCCTCCTTATGCTGGCCTCTTTGCACAAGAGCCCACCATTGTGGAAGGAAGTGGTTTGTGCAGATTATTCCCAAACCTATCTACACAAACCATTTAATGTAGTTTCAAAGCAGTATGGAAGGAAGTGTTTATTTGTCGTGTCAGGGCAACCAGTCAATTGTATTACATTTCTAACAGAACAAATCAAACAAACAAACAAACAGACAAAATACAAATTTTGCGAGTTTGGTAGTTGATTAAATGTCCTTTGACCAGTAACTAGCCACTTGGAGTGCTTCTGGTGTTGCTGCCCTGCCACATTGTGCATGTGGCAGGGCTCAGGGTGCATTGCAGCAGGTGGTCAGTGGTTTGCTCTTCTCCACACTCACATGTCGTGGATTCCACTTTGTGGCCCCGTTTCTTGAGGTTGGCTTTGCATCTCGTGGTGCCAGAGCACAGTCTGTTCAGCGCCTTCCAAGTCGCCCAGTCTTCTTTGTGCCCAGGGGGGAATCTCTCATTTGGTATCAGCCATTGGTTGAGGTTCTGGGTTTGAGCCTGCCACTTTTGGACTCCCACTTGCTGGAGTGTTCCAGCGAGTGTCTCTGCAGATCTTAGAAAACTATTTCGTGATTTAAGTCGTTGACGTGCTGGCTGATACCCAAACAGGGGGTGAGCTGGAGATGTCTCTGCCTTGGTCCTTTCACTATTGGCTGCTACCTGGCGGATGTCAAGTGGATGGAAGGAAGTGAATGGAAGGAAGTGAGTGGGAATCATCTGCACAAAAATGGAAGGAAGTGATTTGTGCAAATGATTCCCAAGCCCATCTAAGTTGACCATTTAATGTACATTCAAACCAGTATGGAAGAAACTGGAACCCATCTACACTACCATTAAATGCACTTTCAAACCGCTATGGAAGAAAGTGGTTTGTGCAGATGAGCCCCAACCCATCTACACTGATAATTTAATGTAGTTGCAAACCAGTATGGAAGGAAGCAGTTTGTGCAGATGATCCTGTGCCCATCTACACAATGTACGTTCAAACCAGTTTGGAAGGAAATAGTTTGTGCAAATGATCCCAGAACCCACCTACATTAACCATTTAATGCACTTTCAAACCACTAAGGAAGAAAGTGGTTTGTGCAGATGAGCCCCAACTCATCTACACCAACCATTTAATGTAGTTTCAAAGCAGTATGGAAGGAAGTGGTTTTTGCAGATGATCCCCAAACCCATCCACATTGACCATTTAATGCACATTCAAACCGGTATGAAATAAAGTTGTTTGTGCAGATGATCCTGAACTTATCTACACTATCATTAAATGCACTTTCATACCGCTATGGAAGAAAGTGCTTTGTGCAGATGATCCCCAACTCATCCACACTAACCATTTAATGTAGTTTCACACCAGTATGAAAGAAAGTGGTTTGTGCAGATGGTCCCACAACCCATCTATACTGATAATTTAATGTAGTTTCAAACCAGCATGGAAGGAAGCGGTTTGTGCAGATGATCCTGAATCCATCTACACTATTTTATTTATTTATTTATTTATGACATTTATATGCCGCCCTTCTCACCCCGAAGGGGACTCAGAGCGGCTTACAAGTAAAAGGTAAATGCAATATATTATATTATTACTATAGCACAATATTAATATTATATATTACATTGCACTATAACATTATACTGTAATATTATTACTAATATTACATTTAATATAAAATATATAATTATATTATCATATTAGTAGTAGTAGTAGTATATTGTATTACATTATAATATTATTAATATTATAGGTATATATATTATATTATATTATATTATATTATATTATATTATATTATATTATATGCACAGTGCAGGAGACAAGATGGAACTGCCTTCCTGGACCCTCTCTTCTCTGATCTCAGAGCAGCGGTTGGTGCTGGGGGGGGGGGCTCCCAACTGATGACACTGGAGGCAAGATGGAACTGCCTTCATGGCCCCTCTCTTCATTCACTAACCATTCAATGCACTTTCAAACCAGTATGGAAGAAAATGGTTTGTGCCCATGATCACCAAACCCATCTACATTGACCATTTAATGCACATTCAAACCGGTATTAAAGAAAGTTGTTTGTGCAGATGATCCTGAACCCATCTACACTACCATTAAATGCACTTCCATACCACTATAGAAGAAAGTGGTTTGTGCAGATGAGCCCCAACTCATCTACATTAATCATTTAATGTAGTTTGAGACCATTGTGGAAGAAAGTTGTTTGTGCAAATTATCCTGAACCCATCAACACTAACCATTTAATGTAGTTTCAAATCAGTGAGAAAAACGTTGTTTGTGCAGATGGTCCCAAACCCATCTCCACGGACCATTCAATGCACTTTCAAACTGGTATGGAAAAAAGTGGTGTGTACAGATGATCCCTGAACCCATCTCCACTGACCATTTAATGCATTTTCAAAGTGGTTTTACTGTGCAGCTGATTCCACAGGAAGTCCTCGAACCGGTTTGATGGTGATTACAGAGCACTGATGCGCATTAAGGGCTTCCGATTATGGATTATTGTGGAAATTTGTTGTCTGGCTACTCCAAACTGCATGAAATGGTCAGTGTAATTGGAGCCCTAGTTTGCCAATCCAACCATGCCCCTGTCTGCACTGACAATTTGCAGTTCGAAGCTAACTTTAAATTGTGTTGCCAAAGGCTTTCATGGCCAGAATCACTGGGTTGCTGTGAGTTTTCCAGGCTGTATGGCCATATTCCAGAAGCATTCTCTCCTGATGCTTGGCCCACATCTATGGCAGGCATCCTCAGAGGTTGAGGTCTGTTGGAGCCTAGGCAAGTGGGATTTATATATCTGGAATGTCCAGGGTGGGAGAAAGGACTCTTGCCTGTTTGAGGCAGGTGTGAATTTTGTAGTTGACCACCTTGATTAGCATTGAATTGCCTTGCAGCTTCAAAGTCTGACAGCTCCCTGCCTGGGGGAATCTTTTGTTGGGAGGCATTAGCTGGCCTTGATTGTTTGCTGCAGCAGCCAGGCAACATCCTCCCACAAAACCCAACAAAAGGATGCCTTTAATATCATGCTATCACCATCCAGGTTCCATCTGTACAGTGAAACCAGTTTCTTCAGTACTGGTTGGAAACGGAATCAAATGGTCTATTGATAGAGCCAATATCTGCCTGTATGGGGTGCCATGTAAGAAATGGATGATGTTTCTTATTATATTTAGACCCCATTATCCCCCCCCCCCCCAGTAATACAGTTAGAAACATACAGAAGATAAATGTTAAAATAGAACTAAATGAGTTAACACTTCTTAAAACAATTAAGTTAAAATACAGTTTCAGTACTCACCCCTGTGGATACCAAAACACACAGATGTTCAAGTCCTGTTATATACAATGGTGTGGTAAAATGGCATTGCTTATATATCAAGGTTTGCTTTTGGAATTTTAAAAAATACTTTCAAGCAATGAATAGTGGAATCCATGGATGCTAAAACAGTAGATACAGAGGGCCAACGTTAAACAATAAATGTAAAACATTTAAAAACAGTTTAATTGCAACAATGCTGCACCCCATCCCACACTTTAAAAGCTGAAAAGTATATTAATCGATCAATTAATGTATTAATTGGAAGTGATTTCTCTATGCTTCTGCCAAAAAACTTTCCAGTCACCTCCATGTCATTTTTTTCTGAAATACAACCTGAAAATAATAATTTCAACCTCCATTTGATATCTGCACAAATCTGCTTCATTTTAGTAGCATGTGATGGAAAGGTGTGGTTTCTCATACTTTTCCATTGCATTTTTCATACCACAGAAGAGAAATTTGCTCTATGCGTAGTTTGATATGCCTTTTATTGTGCAAAAAACTCTCTTATACTTTGCTAGAGATAGCCCTCAAGTGGATATTAGAGTGTACCCAGTTGCAAATCCTTACTCTTTATCCCCACTTTGTCAGGTGATATGCACATCATGTTCAGACAGTCACATGTAGAAGAAGGATTTTGCAAACTGGGGAAGATATCTACTGGACAGATTATTTTTATCCACTTTATAAAGCTGACCTTGGCAGGGAAAATATATTGAGTTACCAGTTGATTTATGTTAATGATTTTGAAATCTGAGTGGCAGTTTACAGCATGTCATTAGCTTTCTTTATGTAATGGTGAATATTCAAGGTAACTAAGGAAATAAAGATTTTAGATCACTGGAAGACACTATCTTTATAATAATAAATTACACTGCAGCCTTACAACAGTGGCTTTCACATGTCTGCTAATAGTGCTTTGCTTGTAAATATAGATGTATTTTTGACAGCTCTATGTGAAGTGCAAATAAAAAAGTGAAATGTTCAGAAATATTAAAAATTTAATATTAAATCACTGCTAATGTTTTAGACAGTTGAGACCTTTTGCATTATGAGAGCTTTTCTATGTGAAGTTTATGTGATGCAGGTATATAGTGCCGCCATCTGGCTTGAGATAAATATTTCGTAATATCTTCGTGTTGTACTTGATTGTCAGAAGTAGCAAAATACAGGCAGTCCCCAATTTACAAACAAGATAGGTTCTGTAGATTTGTTCTTGATTTTATATGTAAGTCGAGACAGGTAGATTTTTAAAGTGTAACTCCAATCACACGCGCACACACATACACGCATGCATGCTTTGGATAGCATAGGGAAGAGTTAACGCCACAGAGGTGTTTGTTTTGCTGTA